TGACGATAGTACAGAGATACAGGTGCGTGGATAGATTTATGGACTAGACGATGGATATTTATGCGCTTAGTTAGCTAATTAGCTAGACTGCTGGCTGCTTAGACAGCAATATATATATAATTAATGTAATTAGTCAGTCAATTAGTGTGAGGGGCATATGAACAGTTACGGTTGGATGAATCAATTGCCGTTGAGTTGATAGGTAGACGGGCTGTCACTTAACCAGTTAATTAGTTAGTCAGATGGTTTGTTAGATAAACAGAGTGGCATTTATTTTCTTAGTTAGGTGGCTAATCTGTTGGCTGGCTGGATATACAGTTAGACCATTAGTTAGTTAGTTGATTTAAGTAGGCGAGAGCATGCTTGTGACACGAGGCACAAAGCCTCCTAACGACTTGTGGCTGTAATTCCTTCCCTCTGAGAGATCTGGAGCTGTCTCAGTAGAAGGAGAGGGAAGACTTTACGTGTTTTTCTCACTCCAATAATTGCTCATCAATCTCTGTTATCCGGTCGCCATTGTTCCAACGTGCACTCCAGTTCTGGCAAACTCAATGCCTTAAAGTGGAAGTGACAAAGAGTTTTGCAGCAAGTCGACTCAAGTGATAATGTGGATGATTATTTCGTGGCAGGCATCCGTTTCGAATCTAGGTGTGGATATCGACTCTCCTGTCTAAGGGTTTCAGCAACTATCAACAGCCTCCCAAACCAATCGCCCTGATAGTAAATTAAAGTATGCCACGACCGCCTCTTTCCATATCTTTTTATAATCCGTTACTTAGCATCACCCAGTTTCTCAATCTGAGTTTTTGACTGTGCTGTAAATGAACAGCGAAAAGTAACAGCTTTATCCTACAGGGAAAGTGTGCAGAATTGCAGGCTTAAAATTCAAAAAGAAAACTAGAAAATGTGTCGTCAGGTTCTCAGGTTTGAGTCCCTTCGGGATCACATCACTATTACGTGTATTATTATTATTATTATTATTATTATTATTATTATTATTATTATTATTATTATTATTATTATTATTATTATTATTATTATTATTATTATTATTATTATTATTATTATTATTATTATTATTATTATTATTATTATTATTATTATTATTATTATTATTATTATTATTATTATGGCTCTAGAGCCCTTTGATGGGCCTTGGCCGCTTTTTCAGTTTCTTGATCCTATACGCTGACTGTAAGACTCCTTGAACGGGGCATCAGCCCGTCGCAAGGCATCTACCTACACATATAACAACACAAACCCAGAATAAATACACACACACCACATCCATACCTTGAGTGGGATTCGAACCGACGATCCCATTGTTCAAGCGAGCGAAGATATTTCACGTCCTAGAAAGAGCGCCCACTATGTTCGGCATGGAGATCGCGTTACACCTGACATATCCCATTATCTCATTTCCCATTCTTTCTATGAATCAAGTTTCTGCAGTATATTGTCATAAAACTTTACTTACAAAGGTGGTTTACACGAAATATTCGAAAAGTTGACGATGTTTCTTATATTGTTTTTGCACCAATAAATTTTCCGTCCAAATATCGACGTATCACGCACAGCCTGAACCACTCGCGAAAGAGGCTTAAGGTTCGCCCTTCTGTGAGGGTGTGACAGACTTAGTTACTCAACAACTCGCACGCTACGGACGTGTATACTCGGAAACGGAAGTAACAGTGTCAGCCCCACTCTCAGTTCAGTGATTGACAGTGTGCAACATACAGTATTGTTGCGTGTAGATCCGTTCCTAGGTAACGATCGCAAGCAAACAGGTTCCCACGTAGAGTCAACACGCAAGAAAGGAGTAATTGTAGGAAATTGTGTTTTCTGTGGTCCGCCTTGCGACCGTTGCTGCGTAACGGCTCGGTAAATACGCCTCTACAACAAGAGAAGAACTATGCTTTCTATGTGTTCCGTGACGAATGGTTATAAATAGGACAAGTTAGAGCTATGTTCAGTTGTGGGATGTGTGGCAGACGGTAAGGGACTAAGGTGACAGTGTTAAAATCCTTTTTCAGGAAAAGTCTAGTGAAGATACTGCAGGCTGGAAAAGAGTTAACGTGTAGCGATTTGCCAAGTGTAGAAATCAGCGACAGCGTAGTTACGACCTATAAGTAGTCAACAAATCCAATTATCCTAAACCCCGTCTATAGTCACTCATACTTTGTGACGGTATGTTTAGTACTTGCATAATGCCTGCCATATGATCGGAATAAAAGAACATTCCTTTCTGTTCTACCCATTCCACCCAATTACTATACTTCTTTTCATACTGTTTTCCATTCCTTCATTATCTTCCTTCCTCTCTATTCTTCTTTCTCCTTTTCTTTATCCATTGAGCTCTATTTCTTCCTTTTATTCTCCGTTATTCCTCTCCTCTCTATACTTCTTTCTCTCAGACTCATTCTTTCCTTCCCTTCTTTTGAGATTTGTGCCTTATTTCGCCTTTTCTCTGTTTTTTAAATGCTTCTGCCCCCATATATTTTTTTCTGTCTCCATTTTTCCCTAATCTCGCTCCTTCTTCTTTATTTCCAGTATTTCTTTCTTGATCTCTTTTTTTTCCTTTCTGCCTCTTTCTTTCGTTTTTCAATTCCTCTTTTGGTCTTAATTGTTTATTCACTTCTTTCCAGTATCTCATTCCATTCACTTATTTCCGCCCTTTTTCAATTGTTTTCTTTCCTCCTGTTTCCCCTCGTACTTCCTTCGTTCCTTTGTGTTTTTTATTTCAATACTGCTTCCTTCCTTCCTCACTTGCAGTGCTCTCTGTTGCTTTCTGTCCTACCTTGTGTAATTTCCGGCCAGGGATCACAGACTCGTCTTCCCACCTCCTTCACACAGCGTGCGCCTTCTCTTCCAAAGTTGTGACAAGGAAGTTAATACATAAAGACAAGGGTGCCACATGAGTGCGAAACTAATTTCACGGTTCTATCCCCGACGAAGGCAATATTTACCTATCTTGGCACAGAAGTATTCACTATTTCAGTTGATCTTCTACAGCCACATCAATAGCACAGGTTACACTACAGCCTGTTCCAGAAAAATACTCTTACTCTATGTGAAGAACACTTCTAACAGTTTGATTTAAAATTATTACTCCATTTGGCTGGGAGAAAATTAATTATTTTCGGCCCCATCACTCAAGTATAATTTCTATTGAGAATTTGTAAGTAAATACCGGTAAAAACTCCAAATTTTTAGGTCCATAACTCACATTCTGCGATTTACTTGTAGTACCTGAAACATATTGTTTGAGAAACCGTATTGTCAGGTGGTTTAGTGACTTTATGCGTGGTTTTGGAGAGGTGAATTAGATGTTCACCAGGCGGAACTACACTTAGTTATAACACAAACTTACTGTAACTATAACACTTCGTAACTAATGAACAATGAGCAGAGATGTCTCAGTCGGTATAGCGATAGGCTACTGGCTGGACGGCAAAAGTTCTGCTTCCGTCTGAGTCGACAAATTGTTCTCGTGTCCACAACGTCCAGACCAGCTCTGAAGCCCCTCCGGCCTCTTAGCCATCGGGTACCTGGGCTCTGTCCCCTGGGCTGAAGCTGCAGGAGCGTGAATCTAAACACTTGCCTCCGGGGTGTATCTTCATCCCTATATACGTCTTCGTGACGTGGTACTTAATTACTTAAACACAGGGGCAACTTACTTACACAGATCCTTACTTTAGACACAATCTTCAGCAGTTCATGTCTTCATGTTCGAATAAATTCCCAAAAATACATGAGACATATTCATGTAATTTTACACTTTGTTGAGAGTGCATTTTTAACGTGTCCCTCTCTTTATCTTCCCTTCTTATTCCGTCTTTCTTTTCATTTTTACGTTATTCCTTTTCTTACCTATTGTTTATTTCCTTTCTATATCTTTCCTTTCATTCTTCCTTTCTTTTTTATTTTCTTTTACTCTGGGTATCTTGCTTGTTCTTTGGCTCTTCGTTCCTGTGAGAAAGTTGGCCTCCTTTAAAACAGACACACATTCTTCTCTTATATGGCACCCATGGTTAGGTCTCTTGACATAAAACATTGTGACTGTTAACACATTGCCACGCAACGGCTCGATAAACACCCCGCGATACGCGCACGCAACAATAGAACGAATGTTGTAGCTCGTTGATGGACAACAGTCAGAGCGCCAATGAGCTCGCTGGGTAGGAATCACGTGATTTTTGTTTTAATGTGGTCCGCGCAATGTCCAGTGCTATACAAGAGAACTGTAAACTGTAAGGTGTTTTCTATGCATGGTCCGTGCCTAAGATTTATAGGGGACAACAACGTCGTTTGCGAATAGTCGCAGCTGAGAAGCCGTGAGTCAAGGACACGAAGTCGTCATGGAAAAGAGTGTAGAGCGCCGTGTAATGCAGTACAGTGCAGTGTAGTTTAGAGTTAATTGCAAGGACGCGCCAAACCGGGCGCCCAACGGCCTCAGCTTTGCCTCCGAACTGGTTACTCCAGGTAAGACGCAGAGCAACTGCAATATCAGCAGCCAACCCCGAGACACCAGAATGTGAGACCATAAGGACCAACTGAGACAGCGGTCAAAAGAAGCGACGTCAATAGTGAGTGACGTGGCTGCTCTCCTAACGTCACTCCAGCAGAATATGACGGACCTGAGCAAGGCAAAAACAGAACAAGATTGTTTTGCCCTGATTATGAAAGCAGTTATAGGCTCATCAGAACACACGGACTTACTTTCGGTGTGTGTGCGCACTTCTTGAACATGTCAAAACGCCTGATCCAAGCCGAGATAACCGCAAACCCGTGCTGCACGTCAGAATTGCGGGCAGGACTCGACACCAGGGGCCGGCCACAACGCATCCGGACTTGAGCAGCTCTTACACTCAGAGGTCTGCTAGCGTCAGTGAAGTCGTGGCTCGGCAAGCTTATTTATTACAGGCTTTGAATCTGAAATGTGTACTCCTAGATATGTACTGCATAAATCTTAATATATGTTTTATTGCTACCTCTTTCAGATGCGGCCCTGTGACATCAGTCGCTTCTGCTCTCCTGGTCGGCAAACGGCGTGCCATAAATCTGCCTTGGTGAGGCGCGGGCCACTTCGTATCTCAGCTTAAGAGGAAAATGGCTACCAGAAATTGAATGCACCGTGGCTGCCGTCAGTCCACCTTTTATCACAGCGTTATCTTAGGTCAGTTACGCTTCATTTATGTACTTTTTCATTCTTTGCTTCTTTCCTGTTTTCTTTTTGTTTTCCTTCTTTTGTATTTATCTATAATATTATTAGTTAAGATTCGAATTTTCTACTCAACGTCTTCCTTTTACTATCAGGAGCACATGCTGCTTTCTATACAGGAACTGAGACTACAATATCTGTGTACCGGCATAAACTAAAGCAGAAACGCAAGTCTGCAGCGGATGTTCCTGTTACCATGTTTCTATGAATAGGTAACTTGAACCGTAATTAATTCACTTAGCGGGGATGGAGTCCAGTTGGTTTCATTCAGCACGGCGGCCACTGATTAGCCTATTGTACTTGTCTCGTGTGATTATGATGATGGATAATCTGGTGGAATGAAGATTGGCAGGGAAAACTGAAGTACTCGGAGAAAACCCTCCCTAGCACCACTTTGTCCACCACAAATCCCGCTTGACCAGAACCGGAATCGAACCCGGACCGCAGCAGTGGGAAGCCAGAGACTAACAGCTTAAGCTATGGCGCGGACCACTTGAACCGTAAGAAGAAATAAATATGCTTGAATTAAAAATTTTAGATACTTTGTTCATTACTGCAGCTTGGTAATATGCATAAAATAAATAACACACATTTTATCAAACGTATCTCTGATGGAAGGAGGTTATTGATCTGGTAACAAATAATTATAATTAAGCTAAAAAACTGGTTGTAATATGTAGGGTTTTCTCTGCTTGTCATCTGCTTTCACGCTTGTATCTTGCTCGGCTTATTTTTGACCCAGAAGATGGGCGCGATATTCTCCGGAAACTTCGGTTGACTTTCAACAGGCTAGATAGAGTCATATCCCAGAAGATAACACCCTTAGTTGTAATATAGTTGGATTATATTTTAATATTAGGATTTCTGTACATTGGAAGTAAGAAGCAAAATATTAAGTGTCTAAAATCTTACAGCTTCCTTATTTGTTACATTCAGGACTCAATATGCAGGAGCAGTTCCGTCGGCATAACTGCTGCATTAACTTAAAAAAAAAAACTATTCATTTCTGTCGCAGTATATTTCGGCCTATGGCTTTAGTGGGGTTAGTTTGCATCTATTATTGGTACAGATGTTATTGGCTATATATTGGCCAATGTGTGTAAATTTTAGATCTATTTGTATAATACAATTATTTGATGATGTATGCCGATTGACATATCTGAGATTATTTTTGTTTAACTTTGTCCAAATTTGTTAAAACTGTTAATTTTATATTGCCCAACGTTTCAAGTTTTCATTTGAACGATTTTCTTAATGTAATATACTCGAACTGTAGAGAATTGGCCAGTGTTCATAATCATTAATCAGTCTCCTAGCTACTTTGATATTTGGCATCTACTATTTTTTTGTAAATTTCCTTTGATGTATATTTTTTATATATAGTCCGTGAAGTATTTCTTCTAATTATGAAAACTTAATTGTTCCGTCCAGAAAAAAAAAAAGGAAAAGGAAAAAATCTTAAACAGTCACGCTAGTCTGAAATGTTTAACTTTTCATAATATTATTAGTGTGGCGGACCAGAATAAAACAAATCATATTTCTCCTAAATTTATTAAATTATTTGACAGGCTTTGTATGGCGTGAAATTTCACCAGTTACTACATTTGACGAAATATTTTATCAAGGTTTTCTGACGAATATGTTGCCCTTCCTGTGCGGTTTGGTACAGTCTCTTCCAACTTTTTTTCTTATTCATTTTGTTTAGGATGTGATGAGTGTATCTATGGTTACTATTCTTTCTTAAGAAACTCATTAATAAAAACACAACATGGCACTCCGATACAGTAATTCATAAGCTGCTGTATTTGAACTGAGTGATTTAAAGGAAATTTGTTGAGCAATGTTGGCACTTCTCAAGTTTGAATGCATTTAATTTTGCATTTAACCAAAGAAAAACGGTTGCAAACCACGTAATGTATCTCGGTATATTCTGAAAGAAGGCGTATGTAGAGAAGGTATAAAAATATTCGAAGTCCAGGCTTTCATCAAATTTACGAGAATTTTCTCCCCGTTCAAAAGTGAATGATAAAATGCTGGTGTCAAAGTAAAGCTCCTTAAAGTACTCATTAAGCCCATAATGACTAGTGTCTTTACAGCCGCAGAATTAGGGGTAGATACGTATTCTTTGAAGTTGTAGTGCCTGCAAGCAATGTTCGTAGACCCACACAGAACCGGCGAACTGCATCTGGCTGCAAGAGCTCCTTGCGCAGTTATTTTTTGCAGAATTTTACTGGCTGCAAGCACAAATCATCTTACTTATCTTATCTTATCTTATCTGCCTAATCTTACTTAACTTATGTTACAATTGTAGCTTAATTTCTTGAACAGTCATAGGTTTGACTACCATCACTTTTAAATACCACAAATTCTGGTTTGAATTTCTCCTTTCTCTGCGAGTATACTAAGAAAATTTGCTTAATGATGGGTTTGCATGATTTGTGCAAGCACGGAGTAATGTGGCCCTTCTATTACTATCAAAGATTTATAGAACAAAAATGAAAGACTGATAAATTAGATAAACTTGAGGAGTGCAGCCCAATGACGTCTCCCTCCGATGAATTGAAAACGCCAAGTTTCTGAAGACTGCTATCTTGCGGGAGTGTCGCTTCATCCCCCCGTGAAGGATCTGAATCGACGGCCTCTCTCCCAGACAAGAATTCATTTCCTATTGGCTGATTTTAACTAGCCAAATTCATCATGCAATCAACACAAGCCAATTACATAACGAACTTTGAGAATAAAACAGTTCCCAAGATACAGAACTCAGAACCCCACATGTGAGAGCGGTTATTTTCTTTCGTTTAGGGTCCAGTTACGCCCTTCAGAAGACACTTTATGACAGCTACATATGTCAAAACAAAATTAACATTTTCGGAAAACTACAGAATTGCCTCCCGTGGTGACTTTGTCCCTTTCGGGTAATCCAAACTGCATGAAAACAAATACAAGGAAGTTGTTTTCTGTCCAGATGCGAAAAACGAGTCATAACATGCTAATAAATCGGTCTCGTCAATAAACCAGTCATCCTTCCGAAATGGCTAAATAGGACCATAGCGTCCCATGGAGAACTGTAAAAGGTTTGAAGTGTCACATTACATATTCAGTAGGACTCCTTGGGCGGGTGATCAGTTCGTCGCAAGGTCCCTCTACCTGTACACAAACACATAGAAAAACAAACATACACAAACACTAATTTTTTTTTATTTCCCTTAGTGGGGGGTGGAGTCCAACTGGGTCCATTCGGCACGGCGGCCACTGATTGGCCTATCGTAGTCTGCCCCGGATGATTATGATGATGGAGAATTTGGTGGAATGAAGATTGGCAGGGGAAACCGAAGTACTCGAAGAAAAGCCGCCCCAGCGCCACTTTTACCACCACAAATCCCACTCGATAAGACCCGGGTTCGAACACGAACCGCTGCCGTGGGAAGCCAGCGACTAACCGCTTTAGCTATGGCGCGGCCCACACAAACACTAAACATCCATGTCCTGGGTGCGATTCGAACAGACGACCCTGGCTTCAGAGCGAACAGAGACAGTACATGCCTTAGACTGTTTGACTACCGTGACCGACTGTATTGTAATACAACCCAGAATTCCACAATCTGCACAATCACTGCAGCGAGACACCTCAAAGTTGCGCGTTTCTACAATTTAAACGTAATCATAGGCTAAACTGTGCATAAACACTTAGTACGAGAGTGTTTTATAATCAGATTTTGAATCGATCTAGCGTTTGAGTAATTAAATTCCCCGCGTTCTGGTCTCAGGAGACGAGTGTATTCTGCAATGTGCAGCACAGAGCTGTACGACTGTCGCACTATGAAATTTAGAAAATACGAGGATATGGGCTTGGGAGCAAAGATAATGCAGATAAAGCAACCTGCCAGATACCCGAGTGTAAGGAAACGTATATGCAACTTACACCTCACCCTACACTTGAGCCGCAATACACTGACCCCTGACCTCGCCTGTTATTTACGTAACAAATATATACCACTGTTGCCAGATCTTCAGTTCTACTTCACACATGGCAGCGTGCTTATCATTATGTCTAGCGGAGCAGGGTTCGCAATAATACACAGAGTGGCAACGTGCCTATAACAGGACTGTCGTTCATAGTTGTTTCGAAGTGGACGTCCCTGACGTCACTGTCTTTGGAGACGGATAGGGAGTAGTTGTAACATGGGAAATCACTAAAGTGCGGCCGGACTGTAGATACTTAATACGAGAGCTTAGGACAGCGCACATCCTACCTCCAGACCAATAGAGATTTCGTTCTAAGAATAAAGAGGACGTAACCTCCTCTAGATCTCTGGCACAGCCTCAACAGGTATTTCACTTCCGTAATCGTGAGATCTCTGGCACGGCGTCAACAGATGTTTCACTATAATAATCGCGAGACCTTTGGAACAGCGTCAACGGCTGTCACTATAATAATCGTGAGATCCCTGGCACAGCGTCAACAGATGTTTCACTCCTGTGATCGTGAGATCTCTGGCACGGCGTTGACAGATGTTTCACTCCCATAATCGTGAAATCTCTGGCACAGCGTCAACAGATGTTTCACTCCCATAATCGTGAGATCTGTGGAATAGCGTCAAAAGATGTTTCAGTATCATAATCGTGATATATGTGGAACAGGGTCAACAGATGTTTCAGTCCCGTAATCGTGAGACCTCTAGCACAGCACCAACAGATGTTTCACTCCCGTAATCGTGAGATCTCAGGCACAGCCTCAACAGATCTTTTACTCCCAAAATCGTGATTGATGAGCCTGTACTAAAGACCTGAATAATGCAGACGAAAGTTTTACAAGACGGCACACACTGTAGCGTGCCTCACTTAGCTTAATTGAGCTTAATAGCTCCCTTCGAACCTCTCGTGTCTCAGTTGTGGGCTGGTGGCCATCCGATGCATAGCACATTTTGTGTGTTTATTTATTCTGTGGGTTA